GAAAGGAAAAAACATCCTCGTCAATCAATATAACATTGATATAAAACCGAACTTATACTTCCCTTGATGTCTTCCAGCTTCCACTGAACACGACCACAGTAAACGCAAAAACATTTCAGAGCGAGAACACTGCTGACTTGCGTCAGACCGGGCGACTTAGAACAGAGTGACCACGCAAATGCACTCAAACCCCGCGCCGTCACCGTCACGTGACACGAGTCGCTCCACCAATCAGAGGAGGCCGCCGCCTTAGCGGCCTTGCCGCCCGGGGGCGCAGGCGGCCGCCCGCCTGCCGCCGAACGCTGCCCGCAGAGGCCGGCCCGGCTCCGGGGCCGCCCCAGAGAAGACGCTCGTAGTGTCGCGGAAAAACCGGTTATATCTTGTCATATATAACCGGGCGTATTTATTGGTGAGTGACTCCGCCGTGTTATGTGGTTGCCAGGACGAGTCAAGCTATTCAGGAAAGGTGCTGTGTGTTTTGTTCTTTAGTTGTGGGCACCGCAAGACTTTTACGGCAATGCGACTGCGCGCGAGAACGTCATGGTTTAGCGACACCAGTGATGACGTAAGCGACATCAGTGATGACGTAAGCGACATCAGTGATGACGTCTGATGTGACGCAGTTGATGTGGCGTCAATGTGGTTAATTGTGACGATATCGGAAGGCTGGTCTACCATTTCATGTTCAAGGGAAAACTCCATCATTTCTGACTTTGAAATAAGCTAGCTCAAATCAGGACTTTCCTCAAATCAGGAAAAAACAGACAACTTTCTCACCCTGTCTTTTTAGTACAAAAGTTATTCTGAATTTAAATACTAAAAGTTGTTCTCTCGTACTTCGTAGATCCGCAATCGTTTACGTTCTGGCAAGTGGCAATAGGTATGTATGCCATTCAAATACATGTGTTCCAAATTACGTGCAAATTACATTCTATGTAAGTGAAATTTTCTGCTTGGCTGATATGGAGACTTCCATCACTGATGTGGTCAGTGACGTCTGATGTTGGCATAACGCGCGGCGGACGGTTTTGTGGTGTCGAGTGTTGTTGTGACTGTGTTATTTGTGTTCTGTTCTTCTGACATTTGAGTCATTGCTTTGCCATGTATCGTCGGGCACGGGATCCACAGATTCGGAGCTAGAAACTAATCTCGTAATCAAAATACCACCGCAAAGTAGGCATCACTATTCGCTAATAATTGTCGATTAATCTCAACAAAAAATCAAACACTGAGTTTGCGATAATGTTTGTTTTGCTTCGTGTACATTCAGCGCGTCTCAGGTTGTGTCATATAATCCTACGCCACTCCGTCAGTAGGTACCGTTTAAGTCTGTTCTATTTCTGCTTTGGACGGCACTGGAGCCGTTTTTGCCAGGGCGCACTGTCAATGCCTCTCTGTTGCCTCACCAAAGGCAATCTGTTGGGGAGCATTTCCACTGTCGTAATGCTTCAGTTGGCCCTGTTCGCGCCGTCGTCACTGATACTTGTACCGGTGTGTCGCTGCCATAACTGGAGTCGGGCTCTTGCCCCGAGGCGCCCTGGATCGGTGACGTCACGGATTCCGTCAATGACGTCAGATGTGACGCGTCACGCTCCTCGCGGCTGAAAGTGTTGCTGGACTCTGTGTCGCCGAGGCGGCTCTTTGTTGGTTTTATTGGTGTTGCTGTACGGTTTCTGTGTATCTCTGTTTCGACGTGTCGGTGAGAAGACGAAATTATAGGCGTATGTGTGTGACAGTTAGAAATATTATAAATAAACCGGCGACGTTGAACAGCCACGCAAATGTGTTTACCGTCAGCTATACTCTATATATATATATATATATATATATATATATATATATATATATATATATATATATATATATATATATATATATATATATATATATATATATATATATATATATATATATATATATATATATATATATATATATATATATATATATATATATATATATATATATATATATATATATATATATATATATATATATATATATATATATATATATATATATATATATATATATATATATATATATATATATATATATATATATATATATATATATATATATATATATATATATATATATAGGGTTCACGATACCAACAGAATACCAAACACATTAGGATTGAAATACCAAATACCAAGTTAGTATCGGTTTGGTATCGGTATACCGAATATTTGGTATCCGATTGACATCTCTAATGTAGACAGTGTAGGTACGACCAGGGGTGTAAGTTGCCTAAAATGATTGTGGGTGCCCAGCTGTATACAGCTGGCGCCCCTGCCGCTTTGGGGCGCAATGGTCAATGGATATTCTATCTGTGGTAGCCTAAATAAAACCGACTTTGATAAAATTGCTAGCGCCGAAAGGGCGTTTCAAGTGACATCTCTGGCTAAGCAAGTACACGGTTCATAGTGTAAAATGACCGAAACGGCATAATAAAATGTAGAGGGGTGTCATCCAGTAGGGGGGGGGGGCGCCAAATAGGGGCGCCAGACGGTTACGAGGGCGCCGTGAGACCATGAAAAGGACGCAATTCTCCTAAAAGGGCGCAAGTGATTGAAAAGTTTATAGGTCCAGGGGCGCTAAGAGGCCAGAAGGGCGCAGAACAGTCAGTAGCGCTAAATTGGTGGGGACGTAGGGGCGCCAGACGGTTATGAGGGCGCCATGAGACCATGAAAAGGGCGCCATTCTCCTAGAAGGGCGCGCCGCCAAGTGATTGAAAACGCTGTGTGGTCCAGGGGCGCTGAGAGGCCAGAAGGGCGCCGAACAGTCGAGGGATGCACGGTGGACAGAGTCCTAAAAGGGCGCGAGACGGTTAGGAGGGCGCCGTTAGACCATAAGAAGGGCGCAGTGCTGTCAAAAGGGCGCCATTCTCCCAGAAGGACGCCGAGTGATTAAAAACGCTATATTATCCCGCGCCCTGCTGGGGGGGGGTGTTTGAACACCCCCCCTGTGGTTTTTCGCGAATATCTCAAAAACGGCGGCGCGGAGCGCCGCCGTTTTTGGTACACCTTATCATACATCAATTCTACACATGTTGTGAAAATTTCAGACCAAGGTCATTCAAGGTCAGGTCACCAGGTCACTTGAAGTGACCTCACCTCATAAAAACTTTCAATGTCTGTCATAGCTATACCGAGTGACCGATCGCTTTGAAACTTTCAGCGATTGCTAAGAGCAATAGCATGTACAAAATGTATATCTCAGAATTTTGATATCGATGACCTAAGGTCAGGTCAATTTTGCGACCTCCCCATTATAAGTCAATGGGAGAAAATTGAAATGCGCCTCTTTTGGATGAAAGACGTTATAAACACTCCCAAACACCGAATTACAAGTGGTTTAGACACACTGAACTTGAAAATGGTGTCCGTGACCCTTGTTTATGCCCTGAGGTCATCTTAGGTCACGAATGGTATCTAACAGTTTTTCGCAAATAACTTTTGATAGAGGCATGCTAGAGCGATGAAAACGCCTTAGATGTGTTCAGCTCGACGATACGGATCGACTGATATGCAACATGACCCTTTCCGGTCAGGTCATGACCTTGACCTGAGGTCAAATTTTCAAGTTGACCTTTCAAGGTCAAGTTATAGTTCATTCGATGCGTCTTGACGAGAGGAACACGATGCCGGTAAAAGTAAGCTCGTACAATGCTTGGGTCAAAAGTTATTGCAGAAAAACTGTTTTAGAAAAAATCGGCTATTTTTGCAGTTTTTGCCCCCTGCAGGCAAAACCGTTGACGTTAGGTCAAATCTGAGAGAATTACTCAGAAAGGGCGCTAATAGGGCTATCGAATGCGCTTTTCCGCGGCGCTGTAGCTCTATTGGTTCCCGAGTTATGCGTTGGCTTCTTGGAAATTTTCGACATTTGACCTGGAAATCGGCGAAATTTTGCCTTCAATGACCTCTGGTGACCTGACCTTTGACCTGACCAAAAAATTGACCGAAGTGATTTCGTCATTATTTTTTACGCTCTTTCGAACGCCGCCTTCCGCGTATCGCTACGTGGCCCAGGAGCCGAGTTACAAGGGGGGGGGGTGTTCAAACACCCCCCCCCCCCCAGCAGGGCGTGGAAATCCAGGACCCCCAGCAGGGCGCGGGTTATCCAGGAACGCGAGACGGTCAGGAGGACGCCGTTAGAGCATGCAAAGGGCGCCGTGCTCTCGAAAGGACGCTTGTGAAAGACTTGTGGGTGCATTTTCATCATTGTGGGGGCATAATTCAAGATTATGGGTCCATCTGCCCCCACAAAGAGATATAAAATTACACCCCTGGGTGCGATCTTTATCTCATACGATCATTTACCTCGACGGTCTATTGCGAATACGATCTTTCGTCCATACGAACATCATACTGTACGATCTTTATCCCATACGATCTTTTGGCATACGATCATTTTTCTTGACGATCTTTAGCGAATACGATCTTTTGCCCATACGAGCATTACGTCGTACGATCTTTATCCATTACGATCTTTTACATACGATCAACTTCCTACGATCTTCTGTGTTCTTTCTGCCATACGATCTTCTGCTTTACGATTTTTTGTCCGGCTACCATACAGTGCTGAGTTTGGTTCTTGTATGGTGCTGACCTCTATAGCTTATAACTCTATACAATAGTTCAGACTTCTCTCACTACGTAGTGCTAGGGAGCCGTGTTTCGTTGCAGCAATGGCGCACTTAGGACAAATCAATTATGTTCAATTATTGTCCGTGTGCCACCGTTTGCGCCATGTTAACGAATCGTGAACCACCACACCAGCACCGCTAGCAGTTACTAACAGTTTAGACTCGAGATAGAATAGCGAGGGAATACAACGTGACATCTCGATTTCGCAAAAAAAGCAGAGCAAGGCCCAAAAAAACTGAATTTTCAATAATTCAATTTTAGTTTTCCACCAAGTTACCCACCTATGCGAGGTGCAAAACACCTAAGAAGTGATGAGTAAGTATGTTTGTAGCAATGTAGTGAAGTTGTGTTCCAGTTCAGGGGGTTCCACAAGCCTCGTACAGTTAGAAGCCAATCTCTTTGATGCGTTAGTCTACTCGCTAAATAAGATATAAGCTCATTTGATCCTATTAGTCTAGGTTCCTCTCTTTGCAGGTTCCCTCCCTCATTCCATCCTGAACCATCCCATATTGATATGGCTCACTGGCTGTGTTCGGCAAGTAGGGAACCCCAACAGATGAGTTTTTTTCTAAGCCGCCGCCCATGAATAGACAACCAGGAGTGTCCACCCACTGACCCGCGCGACACATAGAACCTTACGTTAACACCACCCCGAAACATAATACATCAAGTCGCGACACTCCCAGCTAGGAGAATGAAGAGAACAAAATCAAAGCTGGAATAAGCGCGGTAAGGCCCTTGTTAGTATGGTATATGGCTTAAAAGAAAAACAAAGAAGTCAAGGCTAAATGTAGCTTGACTGACCACTACACCTTCCCATTTAAGAATAAGCCAAAGGATCAGTCATTTCATCGGTTCGTTAGGTTAATCGTGCAGCGCATTCACACATTTTTGCGGGGGGCAGTATCTTGTCTAGGTTCGGCAGAGTCAAATGCCCACTGAAAAGAGCCGCCGAGCTAAGCAAGCTTGTTGCTCAGCGACTCAAATCAGCGGGCAAACATCAGGGCATTATTTGAAGTGTTACGTATTGTTACGTAGTTTATAAGGGGTCGAAATATATCATGTTACAACCATGAATTCGTGAACAGTTCAAGTAAGGGGGTGCGCAGCAGCTTCAGCTTGGCTCTAGGGTCCACCTTCCAGGTAGGTAGGTTGATGTCCTCTTGTAGTCTTCAGAATTGCAGTAGGCCCAACAGGTGAGTTGAACAGGTGAGTTGAAAATTCTCATTGACCCTCTGAGCGCTCCGCACCTGTTAAAGTTTAAACTCTCGCAGTTACCTTTATGCTGGTGGTAATGATGTGTGCTTATTATAGATTCATCCACTAACATGCTGCTCATGCCTTATGATGGCATGGATTCATGCCCATTGATCATTTAAATTAATTTGTTTTATTTCTGTGTGCCATTTGCTATTAGTTTCTGGTTTTAAACACAAATCATAACTGAAGCAATGATAAATAGGGTTGCCTTGAAATAGCAATGCAACCTTTATGGCTTGGGAAAAGTTTTAGACCAATTTTCAGGATCATAAAATAAGCTGAAATATTTCCCCACCTGCATATTGTACCTGCATTTAGATTATAGCTTTTCACAGCAGTGTGTGCAAATTACAGATGAAGGTAGCATAGGGGAGAAATGTCCAAGACGCCTTTCCCCCTAAGGGAAAATGGGGGGTAGGGTACTGCTGAAATAGTTATTTTGCCATGTACCATAATGTATTTTGTTAAAGCCTTGTCTTTCAACTATTAAACAAAATAATATGTAAGGCACTGGGACATTGCATTCTGGCATGAATGAGGTTTTGCAAGACCTTTGCAAGCGAGGCGTTGTACTTTATGGGCACGGTAAAATGCCCCACTTTTATGAGGTTTGTTTGCATAAAATATGCATTTGATATTCCGTTCTCAGACGTACTTCTCTATTATTTAGGAAAGCAGAAACTCATTAATGCCAGAAATATGGCCTTCGGTGAATAGGGTTAGATGGAGTACCGTTCCGAAAACAAACGATGCTTCAGCATTTGCCTGCAAAGTCGCCGAGCTCAATAAATTGACCCATTGCAAAACATCACTGTTTCCAATGTGTTTGTCACCTATTTACCCAAATCACCAACAATGTATCGCAATAAGCCACTTCTGGAAGGTAAGGCATTTGTAGTGTACATGGAAAAATGGTATGGGCGTTTTAGAAACTAGGTGCCGGGGCGTTTTGTTAATTTTACAGTCCTTGTGCCTAGCGGCATATATAATAAATCTCGGCAAACATGGAACAGTCATTTTGCACTTTTTTGGTAGACAATTAACCCGTCTTGTTTACCGAAGTATCTCCTTTGCCAGCAAAATCGGTTCGGGCTGTATTTGGTTTTATTCTGGTTAGCTCCGGCACTTACTCCGGCCGGAACACGGGCAAGGTCTGGAGCTCTACTGGAGCTGACACATGATCCCAGAGCTCGCTCGCACCACGGCTAGACTTAGGCCGTATCAGCCGTGCCGTACCTCAACCGCACTTCAGCCACAGTAAGTCAGAGCAACTACAAGGCAGCCGGACCTGGCCGTAGCACGCCGTGGCAGGGAGCCGGACTAAAACCGGACTTAGCGGTCCGAAACCATACCAACTCAGGAGCGCTACGGCAAAGACTGGCTAACCGGAAAAGAGCTACATCGACCCAAACCCCCTGTTCCGACGGCACTCCGACAGTGTCGGAGCTACCGCTCATTCTGTCAATCCGCCTGGCTGGAAGGTTTCGTTAACCCGCGCCCCACTGGGGGGGGGGGGGGGCTATTCATAGCCCCCATCCCGTTTTTCTCCGATAACTTCCAAACCGCCTGACGTATCAACGCTGAACTTTCAATACCTTCGGCTGCATCAATTTGACACTTTGTGTCAAAATATGAACTTCGTAGCTACCATAGGTCGGCCGTAAATGACGTCAGAGTGACGTCATGTTCGGCCGATTTCGACGCAAAATAATGAACCACGGCAATCACTCCCAAGAGCTCAGTTTTTAAGCTAGACCAATTTCTTTGGATGAGAATAGACTGCGCTATCAAACTGCTATCTCGGATTTTCAAAATTTTGAAAATTATATATAATAAAATTCAAAATTTATATTTTTATATTTTTTTAACTTTTCGAAAAAAAAAACGGAATATATGTGATAGAATACATGGTTATGATTTACTCTAGCAAGTTTTAACTAAATATCTTCAAAAATGGCCAAGTTAGGTATATATGTTACAGGCAAAGTGAAAACTCGGGCATTTTGCAAAATGCCTAGGCAATTTGCAAAATGCCTGACCGGCTAGGCATTTTGCAAAATGCCCAGGCAATTTGCAAAATGCCTGACCGGCCAGGCATTTTGCGAAATGCCTAGGCAATTTGCAAACTGCCTGACCCACCAGGCATTTTGCAAACTGCCTAGGCAGTTTACAAAATGCCTGGCGGGTCAGGCATTTTGCAAAATGCCTGAGTTGTGATTGATTTATTTTACCGTTTTTGTTTACCACAGGCGTTGACCACGTCGTTCCCATGTGCCTGAGCCCCAAGCACATTCAATATTTACGAATATACCCACGTCTTCCGCCACTTCCGTCGAGATGGAGCCACTACTGAATGGACTGTGTAGATTGAGCCAACGTCTCCCTATACTTTTCGTATACGGAGTTGTAGCCGTGCGTGTGTACGAATGCTGTGATGGGGCGCGGAGCAGGGCACAGAAAAAACATGGGCGCGGAAAAACGCGGCGACCGGCCGAATATTGACCCGACATTTTTCGCTTCCCGTGCTTACTTACATCACGGCAACAAAGGGCCGCAGTGACACGGGGTTGCCAGCTCGATCGATAGAACAGAGACATCGTATCCAATAAGCATTTTTGTTAATCACGTGTCACGTGGAAAGAAATAGTCTATATCTTGAGAAATCAGCCATTTTTGGTACATTTCAGGAAAAACAGCATTTATAAACAATGCATTGGAATGCGATGAGATACATTCCATAGACTAAAAGAACATGTGGCTTTTCCAGAAAAGCAAGTTTTTGGTCATCCACGACCCACGTGCACACCTTTATAATAAAAAGACGCTTAGAAATAACAAGTTTTACATTCAACGGACATGTTCATCTTTACACAGTCACAATGCATTGACAATGTAGGCGTGTGGCCCGCCAATCAAACTACCATACATCGAAAGAACATTCTTTTCTGATCAGATCTACCCAAAGTATTTCCAGAGTCATCAAGGCTCTTAGAAACATTACCATGTTTAACGCGTGTTTACCGATAAAACCGCGCCGGGCGCCCGGCAGCCGGCGCGGCGGTCGGGCCGCTGCCTGGGGCTCAGTGACCCTGAACTCGCCAGCGCTACCCGGAGAATGTCTCACTGTGTGTCCTCCCACTTGGTGCGTATCGCTTGTGATTAACCCCTGTAAGCGGCACTTACAATAATGCTTACGCATCGTCGCTGGTGTGAGTTCGATGTCGGGCATTTTGCAAACTGCCTGAGAAAATAATTTCAGGCAGTTTGCAAAATGCCTGGTGGGCCAGGCAGTTTGCAAACTGCCTAGGCATTTTGCAAAATGCCTGGCCGGTCAGGCATTTTGCAAATTGCCTGGGCATTTTGCAAAATGCCCAGCCGGTCAGGCATTTTGCAAATTGCCTAGGCATTTTGCAAAATGCCCGAGTTTTCACTTTGCCTGTAACATATACGCATTATTGCAAAAAAAAAATTACAATCATAACATTTTTCAAATCAATTTTCAGTACGTTTTTGACATCGTACACCAATCTAAATAGCACCATCGTGTTCCTGAGCTCAAACTGCATCCGATGGACATGTTTTTTGATGAAAAGTTTCAACTTTGAAATTTGACCTTTTTTTACCTGAAAGTGACCTGACCTCAGCTATATTCAGATGAAAATGGCCTCAAATGACACAGGTGACACCGAATTCGGAATCTATGGCCTAAATGGACCATAAAACATGTGCCACGTTACCGACTTATGACATAAGATTTCCGTGACCTATGATGACCTGACCCTGACCTGAAAATCAAAGTACAAGTTTGGTACCCTCAGGGTATCTAAAGCATCTGTTCACGAGTGTGTAAACGAAAAATCAGCCTGATCTGACTTGTAGGACGGCAGCCAGAGCCCAAAAAGTGAACAAGCCAAATATCGATAATTTTTACTTTGACCTGACCTGTGACGTCATCGGTGACCTCGAGGTCAATGAAATTAGGTTTCACTCGACAGTTTTTCCGGAGCTATCAGATGCCGTTTAAATTTTTCCTACATGCCGGGGTATGTCTTAAGCACAGCACGAGCCGGGCAGTAAAACTATGACCAAGAAACTGTCAGTGTCAAAATGCCATGTTATTTGATAGGCCGGGCAGTAAACAAAAGTTTACTGCCCGAGTTTACTGCCCAGGGCAATGACCTCTAAACTACAGTTTATCGCATTAGCCCAGAGGTATAATTGATAGGGAATGTATAATTGACATCATTATTGCATGATATTTGTCGCGTAAAATTAGAAAACTAACATTTTTTGGTAAAAAAAAATATCTGCTGTGCTTATCAAGGGTTTTGAAATACTTCGTAGTTCGTATTGGTTACAAAGCCCGAAATTATGGCAAGATATGCTCCTATTAATCGAAATCCGTTATCGCTTGTTTCTTTTCTTCGTTTGATATGTCCACTAATACCTTGGGCCTAAGTTATTGCGTTATTATTGACAGTTGTAGTCCTTTCCTCGAAACAAACATGTAAAATATGGAAAATATAATGTATTTCGCGGAAGTTTAGCCATAGGTCATCAACAAAGTACGATTACATAAATAAAGAAAAGATTCTTGCAAGAGCACTGGAAAATTCACGTTTAATCACTAGGAATATTATACCTTCTACCTTCTTCTTGTTCTTATGTCGTGGCAAATTATTCATGTATGATGTTTCATGTTCCTTGGATATCCAATTGTTGTGCCATTCTGAGTTGATATTTTCAGACGCGATTCTTTCGAAGTGAGGTATTTTGATGCATTTTCTTCTATAAATTTCCATTAAAGCTTTATCCACAGCAGTAGCGCAATCACTGTTCGGAAATTATGGACAAAACAATTGCATAAAAGTGTCACCAAAACCTGTCGAAACTACTTAGCAGGTATGCGGCATGTAGGAAAAATCTTACTGACCTCAGCCGTACGAAATTATTTGGAAACTCGGTTTGCAAAATTTGACTCCGGCCCTCGTGCTTCGCACTCGGGCCTACGTCAATTTTGCAAACCTCGTTTCCAAATAATTTCGTCGGCCCGGTCAGTAATATATAATGGTCAATGGTGATGTATTTTCATATTTATACCCTTTATGCCCAGCGTGCCATAATGTATTTGTATCTGTGTTTCCGCAGGCTGCTGATGGTCTGATATTCGCCGCGTGATCTACTTCGGGTCACTACCTCGTCCTGAAGAGCTACCATGCTGACGTTCTGCCGGCTCAGTGCAGGCCGGACGGGCGCGCTGCTGCGCCGTCGGCACCGCCTCTCCGTCCTCTCTCCCTCCTCCTCCTCGTCCTCCATCCCCTCTGACCACGATTACCTCGCTCTTCATCTGCCCGACCCTCCTCCTCGACCCCCCGCTTCCTCTGACAGCTCCCCCTCTCCCTCCGTGGACGAACTGGCAGCACGACTACGGCGCTCGCGACCCGGCAGGCCGGGCGAGGAGGCTGTCATCGCGACCAGCTTTGGTGTCATTCGACTGGACTCTGACAATCAGCCGGTGGTTCATGGTCAGTTTGAGCCGGGGCTGTTTGGTGGAGAGGGAACAGTAGCAGATCCGACTGTCGCTGAGGCAATGGCAGAGGGACGGGTGTCGGCCAGAGAGCAGACAGAGCCTTGGGAGAGGAGAGAGCGTGATGTTTACCGAGAGGAGATGGAATCTGATGTGAGTGGTGGAGACGCTCGAAGCAGATACAGCATGGATTACAGTGAGCACAGCTTGCAGACCACTGCTGGTGAAAGGAGGCGCTTTGGCGTTTCACTGACGGGGAAGCGAGGTTCTGAGCAGCAAGAGTTCACCGGTGCTCACCATGATGCCCCTCGAGCATCTGCATCATCTTCTCCCACTGCCTCGGCTGTCGCCAGCTCTACCTCATCATCGTCCTCGACGAGCTCTGGCGACGGCAGGAACACCTCAGCTGCTTCAGCCCCAATTTCTGCCGATCATTCCCTCGGGTTTTTCGACAGCCAGTACTTCCCCGATCCTGTATTCTTGGAGCCCACGCGAGAAAGTGACGATGCCCCTTCCCGTGCGTCAGATCGTGTAAATCCTGTCACTATTGATTCTCAACCTGTGGATGTGTTCGATGAGCAGTACTTCGCAGCTGCCTTTGAGCCCGAGAAAGCCGTGACAGAGGCAACGGCCAAGCTTCCATCCTCTTCGCCGTTGCGTGGGCTGGAGAAAACCGTGGCCGACGGTGGCAGTATCGGTGAGGAGTTCCATGACCGTGCGACTGATAAGAATGTGACGGACAAACTAGACGGCCGACCAGATGGTGTGTTCGAGGAGCAGTACTTCTGGGCAGCCTTTGAGGACACTGACGAGCGAAGAGAGGTAGAGAGTTACAAAGCAGGGCTGACTTCGAAGTACGCACGCGCGAGTGAGGATCCGTTGGTGCTCGATCCAAGGGGGGCGCGTGATGTAAGCATATCTCCAGACCTTGAACGAACGAATCTGAGTGAGATGGGACGTGATAGAAATGTGACAACTAAGAGTGCCAGAGGGCTACAGGAGTTTTCATCTGCTGCTGACGTTTCGACTTCCAAAACAGCATCTTCTCCAACGCCAGCGCCATCGCCACCGCCTTTTACACGATCCACCAAGTCTGAGCCAGCCACTTCGACTCGTTCAAAGCAGTCATCAGACGCCAAACCGGAGAAACCCTCGGACCGCCGCTCGGCTTTGGATGTTGTTCGGGAGATGCGCGCCTCGGCTGCGTGTGCTCGCAAAGAGTCAACCAATCGTGGGCGACAGCTGAAAGCCGAAGTCACCGATCTGTCCGCGCTGCCAGCGTGCGACGTGGTGTCCATTCTGCGAGGCGGGGTGCTCCACAACGCCGACGACTTTGTGGTGCTGTACAAACCCGCAGGGATGTCGATCCATTCTGCATCGGAGCGACATCCGCATTGCCTCACCGCGGTGCTGCCAGATTTGGCAAAGAAGCTTCACTGCGAGCAGCTTCTGACGGTACATCGCCTAGACCGAGATACTAGTGGCGCTCTGCTGTTGGCGAAGACTCCGGAGGCAGCGCACCGCATCAGTCAGCTACTCCGCGAAGGGCGCGTCGTCAAGACCTACTGGGCGATAGTGCGTGGCGAGCCAGATCTCCCGCGAGGAGTGCTGGACATACCGGTGATGAAGACGACCATCGCAGGAAAGGAGAGGATGACCCTTCCTTCCGCCGGCGGTGGTAACGCGCCTCCAGGCGCCCAGAAGGCTGTGACAAGGTACCGGGTGCTGGCACGAGGCTCCGGCTGCTCCCTGCTGGAGCTCACACCGGCTACGGGAGTGCGACACCAGCTGAGGGTCCATCTCGGTCTCGGTTTGGGGTGTCCCGTGCTGGGCGATCACAAATACTCCCGCTGGGAGACGGCCGTGAAACCTCAGCGTCTGCCGCCGGCGGCACTGTCGGCGTTTGGTTTGCGCGCGCCTGAAGCGCGCCATCTGCCGATGCACCTGCACGCGCGCGCCCTCTGGATGCCCGGACTGGAGAGGAGGGTGATGGCTCCGCTGCCTGTGTTTTTCAAACGTAACCTGCGCCGATTGAAGATGGCTGCCGGTAAAGTGAAGGCGGATGGAAGTAATTTTAAGAAGGTGTGAATGCTGAGTGCCCGGGGGGGGGGGTAGCGCGCCTTGAGAAAGTGGATGGTGAGTTAATCATGTTCGCGAATGTTTGAATAATGCTTTTGTAATGTTGAGAATTCACAGCAGTGGAGAAAGCGTTAAGAGTGACAGCAGAGCAGATGATATTTAGTTTTGTCTGCGACGTTTACAGAGCCTTCTCAGCGCTTCATCTCCAATGCTGAACCACTTCGTTCGCTCCAAGTGGTGTGGCCAGCCCTAAACTTAGCTAGTTTTGGGGGACCGTTTCATTTCACGTGATTGGTGCCATGCTGAGAGAAACACTGTGCGCTGCCTTTCAGCTCTCGCCTAGTCCACGAGCAGTGTCGTAAGATGGCCTTTGAGATGACGTCAGAACTGATACGCCGTGAGTTTGTTATTGTTGTCTCCAAAGCTGTTTCCTGTGTCATTTTGCAAATAAATGATTGCTAATGTAAAACGGTTCACGCTGGAAACATGAATGCCTTAGACGGAGCCGCTTTAATGAGCGTAAAGAATGGCAAGGTGTTGAAAGGATAACTGTTGAAAGGATAACCGTCAGGAGCTTCAATATCGAGCGCCGGAGCGACTCAAACCGGGTTTCGCCTTCCGGAGTTCAACGCTGTACGAACCGAGATGAATGACGGACAAACTACATTCCACGACTGCGGTGCCTTAGAATCGTTATTTCTTAGTTCTTACATAATCAACAGAGACCATGGAAGCCCGGCATTCTGCGCCGCGAGACGAGCACGTGATATAATGAATTCAATCGCTACAGGGCAATCTAATCTAGATACTACCAAACTGATCTTCAAATGGTAGTGCGTATCGATATGAACCTACCTTTTTGGATGACTGGATCCTCCTATTATAGGAAAAAACGTATAAAAAGAAGATGCACATTGCACAATCGCTGTACCTATGTATATGTTATCACATGTTACCATTTAGTCCCTGTCCACAAGACTGGAACACACAGTTTAATGCATCAGCATCGTGATGTTCACCCAAAAGACTCACTTACGAACGTCCATGCACCACTTAAAGGGACAGTATCGTATCATCGAAAAAAAATCAATGTATGGAGCTGATTTTTTTTTTTACTAGCATTTCTTATTTTTCTGAATCAGAAAAACATAGTTTGAGGACCGAACTCGGTGAAAAATATTGCAACCACATTTCATTTTCATGATTCATTTTCATGAGCGAACCACCACTATACAAGCATGGCCGCCAGTTTGGAAGCATGCAAAAGTACTACAGAACTGGCGCAGATAATATAATACATTATTGACGCTACGCTTACGCGGTCGTTCTTCTGATTGAGTTGTCCTTAGGGAGAGGTAGCCTTAGGTATTGCCTATAAAAATATCACGTGACAATTGGAGGGAGTGACAATTGGACGTGACAATTGACAATGGGAGAAAATATCACGTGACAATCACGTGATAAACGTCATACATTGGAGGGAGATTGTGATTCAAGCTGGAGGAATTCCTTTGTTGAGCCGCTAGAATCCGAAGGAAACAGCGGAAATTGCCTACGACTATTTAATGAATTTAACGGTGATGAATAAGTGCGAAAAACGTTTTGGCTTTATAAAATTTGATGAAATGACCAGGGTAAAAGTTTTATTACTGGCGCCTGGCGGTCAATTCAAAACGGCGCAAACATTTAAACAGTGAAGATAGTGAAGCACGATTCAAAGTGTAGTACACCTTTCGTACTTTGAGCGGCGATAGCGGGGTAACGGTGTGGAGCTTCGAGGATCGGTCTTCAGTTCCCGGCAAGGGCGGATCCAGGGGGGGGGGCCAACGGGGCCATGGCCCCCCCTTTGACGCTGAAAGGGGGGGCCAACATATCTTTTGGCCCCCCCTTTCATCCGTGTTCTTTTTCAGAGCCGACTCATGTATTCACGATCATTTTCACTTTCTTATCTACGCCAAGGCCAAACATCTCTATTTTTGTCCAAATATGACAATGGCCCGGCCGTGTTGTACCATCTTAAAACCCCAAATCGGAATTATTGAAGGAAAACTTCATGAGCCATGGATATGCCTGAGCTACTATGGTATCATGATGCTACCATACTTCATTCCCATTATAACCAAAACCTTGAAATGCACGTTTGTTTACACGCCGTATCGCCGCGATCGCCGCACTTTTTCGCTCTAATATCGTATACACTGCCGCGTTGTTGTGTGCAAAGTCCTATATACCTTATATACCGGTTGTGCGTGGAGTCGGGTAGGTAATCACTAATCGAGGTGTGGTAGGTTTGCAACTCATATTTTAGCCCATGCCTTCTTGGCTTAAACTTTCCACACTCACATTGGATTTTAAGATCCAATTTTGCTCTGTTGACATTTATGCTGAAGCCAATTTTGGGACACCACCAAGGCTGTTGTGCGCATATATTTTCCAATGTTTCTCTGGGTTTTAGGAGTATTAGTGCAAATTTTCTCAAATAGCAATGAGAATTACCTACAGTGCAAAGTCAGTGCCTGCAAAGGAGTGAAAAGTTATCTGCAACTTAACCTAGAAGAAAGATGAAAAGATAGACCAGAAAATAAGTAAATAACAACTTGCTTTAGGCACATTTTAAGGACCCACCAAACCATTTTCCAGGATAAGCCATCCATGATGAAAAGACGAGGACCACCTGTGCAAAAGTCCATGATGGACTTTTTCTCAAAGAAAAGTAAAAACAGAAACAGGCAAGTAAAAAAGTATTTGAAAATGTAATGGAAGCCATTCTGGATGCATATATTTGACATGTGTGGTAATTTACAACAATGTTTAATTGGAATTGTATTGTATAATACATTTTGGTCAGTGTTTTAGTCTCAGCCTCTTAGATAGGTGTCTAATTTTGGTGCTGCTTTATTTAAATGAGCATTTTAAAGCAATTAAATCCACCTTTGTGTTAGTATCAACTAATACTACCTTGGCTGCTGAGTGCTGGCATATATGGATAATGGATCACTACATCTGCATTGTTCTGAATTCCACACACCGACTTTTTCAGCCTGGATCCACAGCCATCTGTCCCAGCCTGTGATCCTCCGAGCACCCCTTCTCCTACTCCTGGACCAGAGATGCCCACAGCAACAGCAGGAGCCTATTACAGTAGCTTATGTTGCAGTTCATTCAGGCATATTGTGTTCAGTTATAGTTTAATGAATTCTTGTATTAAAAATGTGAGTATTACATGTATATCCCTCTGCTATGTGAATAGTGTAATGACAGCTATTGTTCTACCTCTAAACCGCCTTTTGCACCTGTGCTGTTGTATTATTGTGCCTGAATCTGAAAGCAAACAAGATTTAATCAATATATACTGCCAGAGCATGCAGTAATATCATCAGAAAAAAATTATACCTTTTCCCAACACTTATATCACTTTCATTTATTTCTAAAACACGCATGATTTTAAGGGCACCGGCAGCCACTTACCTATCGACATCCCAAGTCAGGGGCGAATGGGCCGCGCACACAGAAGGACACGGCCAGAGGTCACGGGGTCGCCTGGCCACGCCGCCGCCCGAATCGAGCTACCCATTGCCACATTCTTATGGTTTGCTTGATTTGTTTTGTTCGGTCGGTCCCTTTGCCACAGTCATAGCACAGTCAAGACTTTTCGATCGGTCTATAACGTGTCGGTGCATTGTAGTCTGCGCACCGACCGCTACCGCCACCTATCCTACCCACTGGTCGACGAGGCTCGCAGCGCTCGCGGCGACCTCTACAGCGACGAGTGCTGACACGGCTCAGCGGCACAACGCGCACCGCTCGCCGGCAGTCACAAATAGTATCTAAAAATAGAATAGTTATACTAGCTTTGTGAATTCTGGCTAAGATTGGTTTGAACTATCAATGGCGCATGCTAGAGCAGAAGCTAATATGAGCGTCATTTGACCATTGTAGTCGGCGCGCCCCTAAGCCCCAATTATCATATTATCATAGAGCGTAAGCTGATTGTACGGGCGTCACCGTCGTGTTACCTATGCCGTCTTCTTAACCTTCTGTCGGTAACCTTGCTTTAGTCTAAACAGACTACTACATATACCTAGATTGTTTTTACTTTTTTATCGGACATTAGCTGGCGGTCCGAAACACCCACTGGTTGTAATGGTAACATGACTTTGACAAACGGTTTTTGAGTGAATGAACTAGAAACGTTGCATTTTCTTGTTTTATTTTTATGCAAATAACATTTTTTTAATATTTTGCAAACGAGCTTGGTGGTGTTCCGACTTCTTAGGTACCTACCAAAGATGCCAGCGCCGACAATCGGCAGCTTTTTTCCTAATATGCTTGCCTAATTGATAAAGTAATTTTCAGAGTCCAACCAGCAGAGTCCAACCTGACCGTTTAGCGACCGGATAGTAATCCTATATCCCCTTGCTTGTCTCTTCAGAGGAGGATCGCCCCTTGGCCCTGGAGTCTCCTGTGACGGGTCCTGGCCCTGGAACCTCATCCTTCACGCCATCTGAAAATCAGTCAGCAGGCTCTCCAGACCAGAGTGGTGGCGATTCAGAGGACATTGTTGGAATCCCAGATGATAGGCCTGTTCTGCCTCCGAATGACTTCGGTTTTTTTATCGCAAAGAAAACCAGCGATGAAGAAAAGCTAGAAGGACTGACCAAACGATGGTGTCCCTCCGAGAAAAGTCAGTTCCCTGTTTCGTATCACACAAAGAATGGGGTGTCCCGGCCGAGGTATCTTCTCCGGCATCACTTGGATACATACAAGTGGCTGGCTGTATCCAGAAAGGGGAACTTATCTGGTGCATGGTGTAGTGTTTGTGTGCTTTTTGGCGAAACTCTTGATGAAGGCGAAGGTGCACGTGGAGGTAAAGGCAGGTCGAAAGGCAAGCTGGTGAGCCGCCCCCTTGTCGACTTTTCTGACTTGACCGGCAAGAATGGTGCTCTGGATTCGCATGCCCAGTCAGCATCCCACCAGGCCAATGCTGCAAAGGCTGCCAGCTTTACGATCGCAATGAAGGATCCAAAGAAAAGCATCGATGCAGTGATGGACACAGCGAGCGAGCGCGAGGTCAGGCGTAACAGGGCAGTACTGACGTCAATCATCGAAACGCTCAAGTTTGCTGTGACGCAAAACATATCACTGCGAGGCCACCGTGACGATGGGCGAATTGATGGGAGTGGTACTCAGCCAGCCGAAAACGATGGAAACTTTAAAGGGCTGCTCCGATTTAGGCTTCAGAGTGGCGACGAAGTACTGAAAAGGCACCTGCAAGATGGTTCTGGTAACGCGCTTTACACGAGCAAAACAGTCCAGAATGAGCTCCTCGACGTCCTCAGGACTTTGGTGCAGGAACGTGTGACAAACAAGGTGCAAAAGGCTCAAGTATGGGCGTTGATGGCTGATGACACTACAGACATTTCAAACAGAGAGCAGATGGCTGTGGTGGCTCGATATGTAGACGAAAATGAGAGTGGCCAACTCGTAATTCGGGAAGACCCTGTCGCTCTTCTGGATGTGATGGACGTCATTCGGCGGTCCGCGAACGGCCCAGAGCTGAAGATGTCGGGGAAGAACCTCGCAGAAGCGCTGCTAGGCAGTATCCGCAAGCTGGGCCTGGACACTTCTCGCCTTGTAGCCCAATGCTACGACGGCGCGGCTGCTATGTCGAGTGAGCGGGTGGGCGTGGTGGCACAAGTGAAGGAAGCCGCACCACTGGCAGAGTATTTCCACTGTGCGTCTCATGCATTGAATCTATCGACGTCACTCATCAACAAAGTGGATTTGGTAAGAAATGCCTTGGGGACAATGGAGACTGTCGTCGTTTTTCTAACAGATGGTGCAAAGCGGGGCGAAATCCTGCGCTACGCACAGTCATCAAAGATGGACGGCGATAAGAGGCTCAAGCTGATCAAACTGTGCCAAACACGGTTTGTCGAAAGGCATCTCGCTGTGGAGCGTTTCTTGGAACAGCTCAGCGCTATCCACCTGGCACTGGAGCAGATCGCCACGTGGCAAGATCGGCGCTCCAGTTCGAAGGCCACGGCGCTTCTGAGTGCCATCTCGAGGACCGAATTCCTGGTAGGTCTGGTCGTAGTTGAACGGTTGGCCGGCATCCTTCGGCCATTGGCTCTGGCACTTCAGGATAAGCAGCTGGACCTCACTAAAGCCCTACAGTTGGTAGATGCGGTGAAGTCCGTGCTGACGGAGCAGAGAGCCTCCAGTGAAAAGGAATTCGCTGTGTTGATGCGGACGGTGGAATGCGCTGCAGAGAAGCTGAGTGTAGAGGTGAGGAAGCCGCGTCTGCCAGAAAAGTCCGTCTACCGGGGAAATGCAGGCAGGGATCTCTCCACAGAAGCCTACTACCAGATCACGGTCTTCAATCCTGCCGTGGATCTCGTCCTGCAAGACATCAACCTGCGCTTCGGCAAGCACACGCAGCTGACCGCGAGCCTCAGCAAACTCCTGCCAAAGAAAACAGTTTCTACGGAGTGGTCTGACGTGGAGCCAGCCTACGAGCAGTTTAAAGGTCTCCTAGGATCAGTAACTGACTCGCAGGTGAAAGCCGAGTTCAGCGTGTGGAAAGCCATGTGGCGTGATAAACCCAAGGAAGAAGTTCCGACGACTGCTATCAGTTCCCTCAACGCGTGCCCGGCTGAAATCTTTCCAAACGTACATATGCTTCTAAAGGTACTCAGCGTGCTACCAGTAACAACCGCAGAAGCCGAGCGCGTGTTTTCCAAGGTAGCTAGGACACTGACAGCGCTCAAAACGACCATGACCGAGGGTCGGCTCGAGGCGCTCGTTCTGCTTCAGGTACATCGGGACCACATGCCGGCGACCAGCGAGGTCATCAACCGCTTCGCTGCGTCTGCCTGTCGCCGTCGGGAGTTCCGATTGCGCCTGTAGCGCGACGCGATCCTGATCCTGCGCGATGTGGCCCTGACCCTGCGCGATGTGATCCTCGACTGCTCAATGTTATCCTCATCCTGTGCGATGTGATATTGAAAGGCTGACCATATATGTATGTACATACATAATATACATTCGGTTCTGCGCCAGACGTGTCAACTGTCATCACTATCAGATGTCTGACAGATAGGATGACCGCGTATTAACTGATAGGCTGATTGTGCTGATCTCTGTGAACAGGACAGCTAGCATAAACGCGATGAAATCACCTGATTTCAGGAAACACATGTGATATAAATCATACGCGTATTGCACAAAAACAGCTTGGCTTGAATAACAAGTTCTTCATCATGCATCATTTTGTGAGCTTACTTGTGAGCCATTTGTGCCCTAAACCGCTAATGTCATTATGTCAAATGCCATTCCGGGTTGAAAATCCAACCATAAGACCGATTCATAGACTCATATCTGGCTAAACATATCCTGTGCTGAGGGATTCATGCTATCAACATTTTACCACAATTACATGTTTATTACCAAAGTTATTTTTGTCCCATAGGCACCCAAGCTTCTACTAATAAATACACGCTATCACTTTAAGCATCATTCACGTCCATCTGCTTTTGCATGCAGAGCAGGATGCGGAAAATGTACCCCATCACGGCCGGCTTTCTCAATGACATTTTGACTACTCCCAAGTAATAATTTAGGTTTTCTGCCTCCTTATTTGTTGTTCGGATATCGCTGCATGTATAAGCCCACCTTGCAGTTCCCCTTCAATTGGCCTAGGCCTAGCAAAAAATAGTCAGGCGTTAACCCCTCTCCTTAGAAAGGCGCTTTAGCAGGGTATAGGTTGCCACTACGGATTGCCATTTGCAAGGGCGCAGCCAAATTGGGGCCTATTAACCCCCCCCCCCCCTACCGCCGAAGTACGTGATTTTTTTTTTGATTTTTTATTTTATTTGATTTTTTTTTTTGGCAAAATTGCAACCTTACAAAATAAAGTGGCCGAAATCCGGGGAGAAAATAGGATTTGGGGGTAGGTTAGGTTCTGCGGGCCCTATCCTAGCGAAAAACATGATGGGCATTTGGCCCCCCCTTTGAGATGCCCCTGGATCCGCCCTTGGTTCCCGGACCAGAAAGGTGGGGCCTATGCAATGTCAAATTTCATCAAAATGGTGATACTGTCCCTCCCTTTAAATGCCACAAAATAGAGCACGAAACCTCCCAACTACACGATTTCGCCGTAGGGTTCCATGTAAACAACCACAGTCCTCTGTGGTTCAATGGCGGCGCAATTCACGTATGTCGCAGAGGCAGCTGTCCGTTCTAGTTATTTTTATGCATATCATGATAATTAACCTTCCAGGTGGTGGTGGTGGGGGAAGGGGATTTTTTTGCCCCCCTCCCTTTAGTGTTTTTATATATCTCCAGAACCGCTGCGCCGATCGTCACCAAACTTTCAGTACCCTCCCGTGAATACCTTTTGCAGATTGTGACAAAAAATCCAAAGGCTATGATAGGTTGGCCGCTAATGACGTCGGAGTGACGTCAATTCTGCCATTTTCGACCCAAAAAAAGTTTCGCGGGAAGAGGAGCTGTCAGGCCTACAGCATTAGAGATACAGAAAAAATGTTTCAGACATAAAAGGTGTAAGATTAACAGGGCAACAAAACTGCTATCTCGGATTTTTTATTTTTTATTTTGACTCAAAAATAAAAATAGATTTTTTAACCCGCGCACCGACGGGGGACGGATATCCGCCCCCCCCCCCCCTGAGGTTTTTCGCGAATAGCGGGAAAACCGCGGTGCTACGAAATTTGGTACGACTATGCTCTCATCAATTTTACACACGGTGTGCAAGTTTGAACCTAACTTTTAAGGTCAGGTCACCAGGTCACTTTGAGTGACCCAACCTCAAGTCACTTTTTTGCAACTTTGTCACCGTGCCAGAGCTACAGTAGATGTCGGAGGCCTTTGAAAGTCACAGGATATTATTAGGTCATTAGTAGCTATAGCGGTGCTAAACTTTAAAAGGTGCTAAGAATAGCATGCAGTTAGTACCTTCCGTACTCACATATGAACCGTTTTAGCGCTATTGTTACCCCACGACAAATGGAATAATGCTAACGAAAGCATTGGGGCTGAAAGTAGAATATCTATACTAGTTAAAGCTGCTGCATGAAAAGTTCGCAAAAACTGCTTTCTTTAGCAGCACATACTTTCATTAGTTACTGCAAAAAGGACTAATCAATTACCAAAAAGGAAATTGTGTAAGGCCGAAAAGACGTGCAAAAAAGGTTATATCCTAGATAAGTGATAACTACAAGTCTCAATGATTGTGTTTTGCATTCTGCAATATTCCCGTGTAAGTGCATCTTTCAAGCATCCAACACATTATAAAATTAAAAAATTGAATAATGGAACATTTATTAACACTTCATATCATCTGCATGAAAAACAAATGTAAATATATACACAAACAAACGTACGGGAAATAATGAAAGGTCGCTCATATACCTGCACACTCGCAGTGACCGACGATTAACGCGAGATCGACTGGGGGAGGCGGGGGGGGGGGGTCGTTGAACCGACGTTCCATTCATGGCCATAAGTTCGACCTCATCCACGACCAGACGGCGTTTAGTGATAGACGGAACCGGAGACCCCGTGTTGTTGTCGTAGTTGTCCTCCATTGTAAGTGGTAGTCGACGGAAGAACTGACCAGGCCCGCATGCCTGGAGCAAAAAAAAAAAAAAACTGGATCAGTTCCAAGATTTTTTTTCTGTTGGGAGCTATTTTCGCAAACAACACAACTTTCCTTCAGACCAAGAAGCGCGATTTGCCTAAGTCGGAATATGAAGCACATAAGATAATGTCAAAAGATACAACGTGTCAGACTCACCAAAGTTGATCAACGTCGGTGTCGGTGGCATGTGTTGGTGGCAAATGCTCATGTACCACCCGGCCCCGGAGCACTTCACTTCACTTCACTGCACTGCTGCACTGCACTTCCCTCCACCTCACTGCCTCCCGGAGCAGGGGCACGCACTCCCATGCCACGCACGACGGATTCCACCGATAATAGCTGATTGAGCTGGCACAGCCCATAGGAAGGCAAAGGTCCACGTATGCGCAGTCCCGCCAATGGAAACCGAGCATGGCGGCGTCCGCCGGGCGGACGGGCACGATGCGGAATGCACTCTCAATATCGGTTTTGGCGAGGTAGGGGCGTTGGAAGGACCCAATCAGGCGAAGAGCCTCGTCCACCGACCCGTATTGAACATATGTGCGCTCCCGGGGAATGAAATCGTTGACGGAAACGCCGGTGGGAAATGACAGGTGGTGAATGACCCGAAACGAGCCCGGAGACTTTTTGGGGATTAGACCAATGGGAGAAAAACGGACGATCCATGGCGGCGCGGGACAGAAAGGACCGGCTATCCGACCCGCGCGCGTCTCAGCCGCGACATATGCGTCCACGACTTCCGGCGCCAGAGAGCAGGATGGAAGGTTGCCGCCCGAGTCACCAGAGGGGACCTCGGCGCTGCCGAGCGGGAAGCCGTAGCGAAAACCGTGCACTAGCTGCGCGGCCAGGGCGGGGTCGTAACCTGTCAGGAGCAGCGCGAGGTGGTCGGGCGGGACTGATACCGGCGGAGTGAGGGAGTCATTCGCGGCCGGGGCGGCGGGTGCCGGGGAGGGCCGGGGCGGCGCGGCGAGGGCAGGCGAGCACGCTATGGGGGCCACGGCAGAGGCGGCACTCGTGCCGGAACAGGCACGGGGACCGGCGGCACCCGGCGGCGCGATTGTAGCCGAGGCAGAGCGCGCGAAAAGAGCCAGACGCGGCGGCCGGCCGGCTAGAGCCGCCCCGACCCTCGCCGCTTACACCGGCTGCAGACCCGGCCCGAGAACCGGCGATTCCGCGAGCGATTGCGGTGAGCCAAATGGGAGACGTGGCCGCCGTGGAGCCCCATGGGTGAGCTTCCGGGCAGAGGCCCCGTGCGCGCCGAAAGGCCTCATCGAAATCGCGCCACGCGAATCCAAGGCCGGGCGCCTGCAGCGAGGACACTTGTTGCATGTGGCGCAACAGACCGGAGGCGTCAGCGGGGTGGGCAGCCAAGTACACGGCCGCGTATCGAAGAAACGCGGTGGCCCAGGCGCCGAAATGCGGGATTGGGCGGCGCTGTACCGAGGGACGGAGACGGCCGTCGATAAGGCAAAACAGCCCTGGTTCTGCCGGGGGGATAGAGTCGTTGAGGAGAGTGTTTAGGTCAATGAATTGATGGGACACGATGAGGGCCGCCACCGCGGGGGATACGGCAGCGCGGGCCGCTAGGTCGTCACCTGCGGCATTTTCCACCGGTGCCGGCGGACGGCCGGCGACGGGCAACTGCGCCGCTGGCAGGTGCGCAGGTGGAGCAGGGCCGGCGGCGGTCGGAGGGGCGCCGGAGAGAACCGCCGGGAGCGCCATTGGCCCGGCTTGCAGTTCGGCAGCCGGCGTGTAGGCGTGGTCGGCGGACGTCAGATGGGCAGCTGGCCCATCCTGGAGACGCTGTGCCGGACCGCGCTGCACGGCGACCGTCGCCGGCGGTGATGGCTCGCTGGCAGGTAGAGCGGCGGCGACGGCGGCCCGGACCATGTCGCCCACCATTGTTTGAAGAGCGGCGGGGTCGATGACCGCGGCGTCAGGGGGCGAGGCGGCGGCGGCCGACGTTGTAGCAGCATGGCCCCGCCCTGGATTGGGCGGAGTGGTGGCCATCACTGCGGCCTGTCGCCTCGCCGCAGCAGCGGGCGTGCGGCGGCTCGTGGCACCAGCGCCAGACGCGGCCGCGGCCGCCGCGGAGCGTCTCGTAGTGGCGCGTCGCGGCGCGTCCGTCCGTGGCGCTGGCAGGGGGCGTGCCGGGGCACGGCCCGCCGACGACTTGGCCCGTGGCATAGCAGCTCCGAACGCATGAAAATAGACGACGATGTTAGCGGGAATGTGTATTTAAACGGCCAGCCGGTTAGGAGGGGGGGGACACACACGACACAGCACGGGAGCGACCCGGTACACGCTAAATCCCGGAGGAGGCGTCCATAGCCTCCTGTAGCACGCTCTCCAGGGTGCGCCACCCGGCCGCGGACGGATGAACCCCATCCGACGCCAGAAAGTCAGGTGGCGGCACAAAGTGGAGCAGGAGCACCGGCGGTTGGCGGAAAAGGCGGCGCAACAGTTTGTTGGCCACCCAGCGCCGCCGCCGGAAAATTCGCGCCGACACGCCGCTGGATGGAAAGCCTGTGCGCGGAGGGATGGGCAGCACATAGACGCGAACGACTCCGGCTGCCAGGAGCCCGAGCGTCAGTTCCTGGAGGTTGGCGAGCCACCGCTGAACGCGGCAGTCCCTTCTGGCGAGGTCATTTCCGCCCGCCACGAGCGTGACCACGCGAGGACGGGCACGAACTGCGGCCCGGATGGCCCAGCGCCTGAAGCCGTCGTCATTGACGCAGCCTCCGCGAACACCGGCCGCCGCCACGGCAAGGTGGGGCGAACAGCGGCGGGGGAGGTGGACAGCATAGCTGTCCCCTACGACGAGCATGCCTGCAATGAGAAAAACAAAATTACGTAAGCCCTGGACGCTCCCAGAGTGGGACGCGGACGAAACCGATATAGCATACACGGTTGCGTATACGTCCAGCCAATCTGTGACCGACTAGCGCTGCAGCTCAGGCATACACCGTTGCGTACACGTCAGGCCAATCTGTGACCGACTAACGCTGCCTCTCAGGCATATACGGTTGCGTACACGTCAGGCCAATCTGTGACCGACTAACGCTGCCTCTCAGGCATCCACGATTGCGTACACGTCTGGCCAAATTGTGACCGACTAACGCTGCGTCCCACAGAGTGGCATACGGCCAGCAGTGAGCTGACTCCAGCCCATACACCGTTGCGTACACGTCAGGCCAATCTGTGACCGACTAACGCTGCCTCCCAGGCATATACGGTTGCGTACACGTCAGGCCAATCTGTGACCGACTAACGCTGCCTCTCAGGCATACACGATTGCGTACACGTCTGGCCAAATTGTGACCGACTAACGCTGCTTCCCACAGAGTGGCATACAGCCAGCAGTGACCTGACTCCAGCCCAGATGGCCCGCTGCAGACCCGGTGCAAGACGACCCCCAATCAGCTGCGGACCTGCGGTCCGGTCGCCGGGCCAAAGGCCGCTAGGCCACGGTCACGGTCAGCTGACGACACGGCGGGTGAATCACCCGGGCCGCCTCACGGCGCGGATGACGGTTACGTAATGACACGCCCGCGCCTGCGCCGCTGGCGGCCACGTGGCTACCAGCAGTTGCTGTCGCTGCCGCCGCGGCGCCACCAGCGCTGGAGGTGTCCACACCTACCGCTGACGTCACGATCACGCGATCGCTGGGTAGAGGTCACACGATTGCTGCTCGGACCCGCCAAGATGGCGTCAGGGTGGCTTGGCCTTGGGTGCACAGAGACATTAGGTCATGCGCGTGGACAGGGCGATGAATACAACAAGATACGAGGCTAGCAGTCTGGTGGCAGCATAAGACGTAACTCCCTGAATTGCGGCACGAGCGTAACTGCGTATACGGTCGCCGGCGCAAACGCGCTATGGCCGACGACGCGATCGCGGGCCGCGGCGCGCCCCTGCGGCCGTAGGGGACACCACAGTTGTCGGTGGTGCAGGAACCTGCGGCAAGGGCCCTAGAGGCAATGATAGAAAAAAAAATATAAAACAGCCAGCGACTGGTACTTTGGTCTGGCAGTTCCTAACTGAGAGCCGGCTGCCAGTGCCGCGAGCCCACTGGGCGAACATAAACATACGACACCACGGCCCAGCCAGGCCATCTCGGCGTAATGCACCCACCACGTGGGGAGAACTCACCAGATGTGGTCCAACTACAATCGGAACGCTGAACAATGTGTAGGATCAGTGTTCGCGGCACGGCGTGGGCGCACAGACTGAGCCAATAGTGTTGGAGCCACACGGCAGGTGTCGCTGCAGTGGCGCCCGCGGACAGAGAAAGTTTTTGCCGCACGACCCCGTAGGTGTCGCTCGTCAAATGCATTTCACTTCATATACCGGAGCACGTCCACACACTCCCACCACAACCAACGGACTCCACTAAAATGGCGCAACACGTGGCCGGAAACAGCTGGCACGCGCATGCGCATATCGCTCTGCGCCGTCAAAACGTGCTAAAGGGCTGGTGATAAGACTCCCAGAGATTTGTAAAGCAGGGCTTAGCTACTTTTTTTGGCGCCAATTTCAAATTTGTTTCCTCTGTAAGCATGTCCGGTTCTATTGTGATACTAACGTAAGCACCATATTCAGCATTACCAACTTCTAAAACACTTAAAATGGTTCTAATTAGAAATCCAGCTTGAAAGAGCACTCACTGATGGACTGGGTACTAGCAGAAGTAGACGTTAAGCTCAGTAGAAGAATAGGTGATCTAAACTTATAATATTTAATGGGAATGTTAGCTATCATTAGCACAGTATTAGCACCATGCTTCTTTGTAAATACGTCGTAGGGTTCTTTTGACGCTAAAAGGTGCTACGAATAGCAGCCGTTAGTACCCCAAATGCTAAACTTTTTTTACAGTGTATACAATTTGTACACTGTAAAAAAAGTTTAGCATTTGGGGTACTAACGGCTGCTATTCGTAGCACCTTTTAGCGTCAAAAGAACCCTACGACGTATTTGCAAAGAAGCATGGTGCTAATACTGTGCTAATGATAGCTAACATTCCCATCAAATATTATAAGTTTAGATCACCTATTCTTCTACTGAGCTAAACGTCTACTTCTGCTAGTACCCAGTCCATCAGTGAGTGCTCTTTCAAGCTGGATTTCTAATTAGAACCATTTTAAGTGTTTTAGAAGTTGGTAATGCTGAATATGGTGCTTACGTTAGTATCACAATAGAACCGGACATGCTTACAGAGGAAACAAATTTGAAATTGGCGCCAAAGAAAGTAGCTAAGCCCTGCTTTACAAATCTCTGGGAGTCTTATCACCAGCCCTTTAGCACGTTTTGACGGCGCAGAGCGATATGCGCATGCGCGTGCCAGCTGTTTCCGGCCACGTGTTGCGCCATTTTAGTGGAGTCCGTTGGTCGTGGCGGGAGTGTGTGTACGTGCTCCGGTATATGAAGTGAAATGAAGTGAAGTGAAGTGCTCCGGGCACATGCCATCGAGTGATAGCTCTGGAATGATAGCTTAAATCAGCTGTTATCGGTGGAATCCGTCGTGCGTGGCATGGGAGTGCGTGCCCCTGCTCCGGGAGGCAGTGAGGTGGAGGGATGTGCAGTGCAGCAGTGCAGTGAAGTGAAGTGAAGTGCTCCGGGGCCGGGTGGTACATGAGCATTTGCCACCGACATGCCACCGACACCGACGTTGATCGACTTTGGTGAGTCTGACACGTTGTATCTTTTGACATTATCTTATATTGTTTAAGTGCTTCATATTCCGACTTTAGCAAATCGCGCTTCTTGGTCTGAAGGAAAGTTGTGTTGTTTGCGAAAATAGCTTCCAACAGAAAAAAATCTTGGAACTGATCCAGTTTTTTTTTTTGCTCCAGGCATGGGGCCTGGTCAGTTCTTCCGTCGACTACCACTTACAATGGAGGACAACTACGACAACAACACGGGGTCTCCGGTTCCGTCTATCACTAAACGCCGTCTGGTCGTGGATGAGGTCGAACTTATGGCCATGAACGGAACGTCGGTTCAACGACCCCCCCCCCCCCCCCGCCTCCCCCAGTCGATCTCGCGTTAATCGTCGGTCACTGCGAGTGTGCAGGTATATGAGCGACCTTTCGTTATTTCCCGTGCGTTTGTTTGTGTATATATATTTACATTTGTTTTTCATGCAGATGATACGAAGTGTTAATAAATGTTCCATTATTATTTTTTAATTTTATAATGTGTTGGATGCTTGAAAGATGCACTTACACGGGAATATTGCAGAATGCAAAACACAATCATTGAGACTTGTTGTTATCACTTATCTAGGATATAACCTTTTTTGCACGTCTTTTCGGCCTTACACAATTTCCTTTTTGGTAATTGATTAGTCCTTTTTGCAGTAACTAGTGAAAGTATGTGCTGCTAAAGAAAGCAGTTTTTGCGAACTTTTCATGCAGCAGCTTTAACTAGTATAGATATTCTACTTTCAGCCCCAATGCTTTCGTTAGCATTATTCTACTTGTCGTGGGGTAACAATAGCGCTAAAACGGTTCATATGTGAGTACGGAAGGTACTAACTGCATGCTATTCTTAGCACCTTTTAAAGTTTAGCACCGCTAGGGTACTGAAAATTGGTCTAGCAGGTGTAGGGTACTACATTTAGTACACGGGTGCTAAACAAATATGGGTACTTACATTAGCACCTTGATACTAAACTAGATCTCAGTGAAGTACGAATAAAATGCTTAGCTTAGCACCGCTAGGGTACTGGAAATTAGTCAATTGAAAAGTACCTCTATGGTGCTTAACTTTTTTTACAGTGTAGGTATATCTCGGAATTTTGATATCGGTGACCTAAGGTCAGGTCAATTTCTCGACCTTTCCATTAGGTATACCCACAGTGTATATAAATACAGTGGCGGCAAATGCGCTTGGTCACGTGACCAAATCTGCACGTGCGGTTGTGGCGAGGGAACTTCCCGAAACTCTGGTGCCAACGGCCTCGCGGCGCCCATAGAGAATACATGGGGCCTTTTCTTTTCAGACCTATCGTGTCTAAACCAAGCCATTTAGTGCAAGGATACGACTGGTTTGAGATTCAGTCGTCTTTTGGCTATAAGTCGGCACAAGAAACGTATTTTTATCGGCAAAATTCGCTAAGTACCAGGTGGTTTTCCGATACGCTGCACGCCTCCCAACCCCCGGCGGCCGACCGGAGGAGTCAGTAGCGCTCCACTTACGACTTTTGGCAATAGCTCAAAACACCTTACAGCTAGAGGGCTGCTATCTGGCACACCTTATCTTTGCTTCCATACGCATCTTTGGAAACCAATTGCATTTCCGTCTCAGGTCAGGGCCCTGTTTCACCGGTGATAGCAGCAAGCTGCTATCACGTTTCGCGAGCTGACGTCATGTTGTGACGCCATACTGTTGACGTAATGGGTAGTTCCGGCGCACGATTGCCGCGACCTTGGCGGCGGCATTAAGTGACGTATGAGCCTTAAAAGTAAGAGTTTACGCAGTCATGATAGTATATATATATATATATATATATATATTTTTGATATATATTTTTTCAATATGATGTATTTAAAAGAAGTTGGGTTTAGGAAAAATTTGGACATTAACTCCGAACATTTAGCTGATGACGTAAAACAATATTGCGGCAATCGTGCGCCAGAATTGCCCCTTACGTCAGCAGTATGACGTCATCACATTACGTCAGCTCGCGCAATTTGATAGCAGCGTGCTGCTATCACCGGTGAAACAGGGCCCAGATCACTGACTTATGACGTCACACGTGAACCTCTGCAATAGTCCCAAAATACCGTAGCTTCGCAATGCCCTCGGTGCCAGAGGAGCTGTCACAGCGAGATGATACTTACAGGGCCCTGTTTCACCGGTGATAGCAGCACGCTGCTATCACACGTGTCAAATTGGGTTTCCATGGAGACATCAACAAACCATGGCGTCGTCAAACTGTGTGATGTCATCAAATATTGCTGCTAACATCTTCACGGCCGTGCGAACAAATCAAACGCATTTAAAGGGACCCTCCCACCTTCAAAAAAGTTTATGAATTGGCATGAAAGTGATGTAGCTCGGTTCAGAAAGAGCGAAAACGAATATCTACCAAATTTCATCGAAAAATATTCACCGGTTTTCAAGATATTAGACTTTTACTTTTGTTTACTTTTTGGGATCTCCGCTGTTCCTAGCGACTTTATTTAAAAGTGCGGCATTTGTTGCGCGCAACGCAGCATATATCACCGCATGCTACAAAACGTTTTAGTCAAACATTTAAAAATCGTTAGATATCTGCGCTGACGTCACACATTCAGAGGGGTATTCCTATGCATTAGCCCCTCTGAATCAAAATGCTGCAATTTTGAAATTGAATATTTCCGATGTAAGGCATTTCTCGATGTTGTGAGGGCCGAAACCGGTAATTGTGAGCCAGGGACCCCATTTTGGCTATCTCCACTCAAATCTAATGTTAAGGTGGGAGGGTCCCTTTAACGACACTGCAACTCTGTTCCAAACGTAGGTATGAAAAAGCTCACGGATTACACGAAACGTCATTACTGCGGCGTCACCACATTACGTCAGCTCGCGCAATTTGATAGTAGCGTGCTGCTATCACCGGTGAAACAGGGCCCAGGACCTAGTATCCTCTAGAAGTCTCAAAACTTGTATATCTCGGATTTCTCCTAGAGGTCACATGAGGTCAGGCCGATCGCATGACGTCACCATTACAAGTCAATGGGAAAAATACGGAAACTGTAATTTTGACGCCGAGAATGATCTAAACCTAGCTCAAGCACATGGAATCGCAATGTCATGCACTTCTTGCAATGCCCAATGCTTCACTTTTGCATCTTTAACCTAGCGTGACGTCATAGGTCACAAGTTTTTTCGTCAATTACTCCTGATAAAATTGAACTGGTAAGTCGGAAAAGTCGGCAATGGACTCGGTAAGCCTATCGAATCGAATGAATACGATATACCTCCTCCGACCAACTTCGTGACCTGAGTGCTTCTGACCTGACTTTGACCCGATGTGAACACCTTATGTTGACCCCACCCAAACAAAAGTGTACCATTTGACGCACCGGAGCATGACAAACATGATGGTACTAAAAACGCGACTCTGCGCCGTTTTTTTTGCAAAGTTATTTCTCAAAACCCGAAATCGTATTTTGGCCCTCGGGGCACTTGACCTGACCATCAGAGGCCACCAGTTGACCTGAGACTTTTAAACCGTGCATCAATCGCTGCGTCCCCGGTCCCGTAACGGCACACATGCTTGTTTTTCCCGCGAGGCTAGCTCTATTAGGGCGAGGGAGTCGTACCCGCCCACTCTCACGGCCTGCGCATGTAAAAAAACAAACTTATAAGTCTGGGGATGATTGATGCAAGATTCTTACAGATAATGGTTGATGAAGGTAGGGTATAAGTTATTAGAGATAAGTGAAACAAATTTGCAGCCCTCAGTAGCCTTGATTTATGCATTAAGAGTTATAGAAATTTGAACAACTGTAAGCTGCAGGCTCAGCTCTTCAGTTTCTACCTATACCTGCAAACACAATAAACTCAATGGAAGAGTAATAATAGTTTAATTGTATTTTATTGATGCTATTCGAGTTTCAATGGTAACTAGGTCACCGATGATTCAATATTATTTGCACGGTATCATTTCCTAGCACACGTCTAAATATTTAGTATCTAAAATATTGCAGTAAAATAAGCTGCGCCACATCTGTCGACAAAATCTGGTGCCAACTCAAGGTCAAACGGAAAATGTGGTCACGTGACCAATGTCCGGCAGCTGGGTATACCTAAGTCAATGGGGGAAAAATCAACTACCTGTTTTTACCACTAAAACGGGTCGGAATGGCCCCATATACCATAAATGACTTCATATACGATCAACCTTCACTACCTTGACTCTTGAGGTCTTTTTTGCTGTTGGGCTGCTGTAAGCCGTAAGGTCATGTGACGTCATCAAAGTTCACCAAAGTTTTTTTGCCAATAACTCCGTACAGGAACAAGATACAGCCGCGCGGATGGTCTCGTTGTGTTCAGCTCGTCAAGACGCATCGAATGATATATATGATGACCTCGAGGTCACGTGACCTGAGGTCAACCTTTGACCTTGACCTTTCGAGGTCAAACATATATATCATTCGATGCGGATTGACGAGAGGATCACGATTATGCCTTTAGTTTGTTCCTATCTTGACTAATTCGAAAGTTATTCGAGAAAAACTCCATATCTAGTGCCGCCATTCTGACTTTCTTGAAATAGGAATAGGTATGAACGTTTTTTTTTTAGACAAAACCTGATTTCGAGAGGTCAACGATATCGTCGATCAAAAAGGTGCACGGTATAACGTTGAGCGATCATGCAACGATAACCCCGACTCTGAGTCGGTAAAATTTTGGCGACTCCGACTCCGACCGATTCCGGCTCCGACTCCCATAGACCCGGGAACAGGGGGGGCAGCGGGGGCGCTTGCCCCCCCAACTTGAGAGCCGAGGGGGCGGCGCCCCCTCAACATTGAGGCAGCGAGAAAAGATCTTTCCTCCCTTTTCCGGACTTTTTCCTTCTTGTTTCCTTCATACATACATCTACGCATCAACACATGGCATTTTCCTTGTCATCTGAATGGTTTCAGCTGATACAGTAGGTATCGATTTGACATCTGCTATTGACTATTGTCATCCCGCTCTGATTTGGGCCTGATCGTGGCCATAAGTTTGGCAGGCCAGATTTTATACTGCACCAGCTTGAGTCAACTTTGAGAAATACATAACGTACAACGGTGGTAAAATCGTTGCTATTATAGGTATAACACAGTTTACCCGCTCCGGATGTGATGGAGGGGTGTGGGGCAATGAGTGCACTGACGTGGCGCCCTCGGAGGGCCGGTATGGGAATAAAGCTCAGCGACACTAAGGGCTTGTGTGGTGCCTTCGGTTATCGGTAGCACCCTCAGAATCACCGGCGTAGGGCCCTCAGAGCCGCCGGTAAGGGGCCTTTAGAGGCACTGGTGTGGGGCCGCCATGCAGGTGCCGGTGTGGGCGCTCAGATGTGCTGGTGTGATTCTCTCAGAGGCGCCGATGAGGGTCCTTACAAGTTACAGGCGTTGCTGTGGATCCTCATAGACGGTGGTGTGGGGCCGTTACAGACGGGTGTGGGGCCTTTAGTGCTGCTGACGCGAACTCTCTACAAGCCGGCAGGGAGTCTCAGTGACCGGCAAGGGGACCTTACGCCGGCAGAAGAAGTCCTGTGGGGTCCTTAGAGACAGGCCCTCATAGGCACCGACGAGGGCCCCACAGTTGCCGTTATGGGGCCCTCAGAAAATTAAGTGTGGGACCATCACAGGCGGGAAATGCCCCTAGAACTGGCACCTCATAGGCCGGTAGGACCTCTCAGAGGCCAGTAACGGGCCTTTGGAGATCACCGAGGTGTCGTTAAAAGCCGCAAGAGGCCCTCAGACGCCGGCGTCGGACCTTTATCCTCTTGGTTCTTTTTGTATACTGGGGTATACATCGTCTTAAGTCGATCTCTACGGAATTCACTAATGGCTAGGCTATTTCATGGCCATGCGTTGCATTCTTCATGCAATGGTCCGCCACCTGGTGGCTGAATTTATATCCTCAAGTTGAATTTGTTGACGCCTCAGCGCTGCAATCTTCCCGGTATCTCGGCGGTCGCAGCATAGAGGTACGTCTCCTAATTATTTTCCTGTTATTTCTTTTTAAGAGTATGACTCATTGAAAACTGTTGTTTTGCTAACACAACCATTCGCTGTTGATCATTGCTTGCAGGTTTTGTAAACAAAATTGTGTGTTTGAAACTTTGCCAGAAAGAATTTAAGTTCATGTATACTAAGGTCCTACTAATGTCCTTGGTCCGAAAAAATTTGAGACGTGCTTAAGAAGTAGCACTACAATATTGGGAGGAATTGGCCTCTGAAAAAATAAATATACACTCGAGTGACCAACGGGATCCTGCACGACGGATAAATGTAAACGTCAGTATACAACGGACTGTGCCTAGGACTAGTCATGTATACTGTAGTATACATGGTCGCTGGGTTAGTTAAAGCCACTTTTTGTGGCTCACATACAACATTATGCCTTCAAGTGGCTCTGTAGTTGAGCGTTGACATTCTTCGAATCGTTGGTGACCTCAATGACCGTAGATCCTCACTCAAAGTTTGATAAATCGCCCGATGAATTAGAATCCGACCCTTATGCACAATGACATAGGCAAGCACCTCCCTAAAACACACCGTACGGCGATTCTTTTTAGAGATGTTGCTTCAGATAATGCTGCAAGGTCTTCCTCTACTGCTTATCGATTCGCAACAGGTGCTACAAGTTCCATATCTTCAAAGGAAATGGCAACTAAAAACCTAAGAGCAGTGGGCAAGGGGCAGAAGAAGCAGAAGTTAAGGGCGAGCGGCGTTGATAATTAAACGTGTCAATACTATTAGCCATTTTACTCCCTAAACAAACGAAAAAATACACTTGGGTGTTTGTATGGAAGTTTTCATGGATTGCATTTCAGTCATATTTTATAGGCTTTGAGTATTTTTGTATATCACAGTATACATTTCATTGCGCATGCGCGATGACCTTCATGGCTGAAATGCCATCAATATGGTCATTATTGGCACCAAAGCTCTCAGCCAAAAAAGTTTCGTTGCTCTCCATTCATGGACTAATTGGCGGGACTCAAGAGGTTATGGAGATCTTAGTGTGGCTACTTAGGGCCCATGAGGTGCTCTGACGAGCCCCATGGGGCCCTTCTGAGTAGAAATATGGCCATCGTTAACCCTCAGCGGTCAAATGGCGCCGCAGGGCCCCTCGGACACGAGGGTCCCCTTTATCCCGATGGGGGGGGGGGGGTACGTGTCCCCTTAGACCCCTAGCTACGCCACTGTTTCATATGCATCATGTCAGGTATTTTAGGCTCGCCCCCCAACTTGAAAATCGTTCCCGGGCCCCTGCCGACTCCACAGCCCTGTAAACAACCTACAAAACCATGGTCATCAGCTAGTAGCTACCATGGTGAACAGTCGGACCTGGCGGTTACCACTGACTGCCGCTGACTGCATTTATAGTTTATACCGCCTTCCCATTGGCTGGAAGTGGAAGCCACAGAATTGACCGCTGGACTAGCAACCGCCGTTGACGTGACACGGGTACCCACTTGCGGTAGCGAGGGCCCCGTAACACACAGACACTGCTACGATTTCTTAGGGGAAACATCGCACGGTAGAACATCGAGGTGCATACCGACAAGGAACCGCAACGCCAGACAAGTTAGCCAACACCATCCAACAGGGAAGAGAGCATGGCCCTGCTAAATTTATTCATCTGCCTGTTCGTGATATTCATTTTGAGAGAAAACCTGGCTGAAGGAGGAGGCGCCTTCCGACGAGAGAGTATCACATTCACCGGAGCCGCCGCGACCACCGCTTTGGCGACCTCGGAGTTGACATGTGCGGTCAAATGTGAAGCGGCAGCGTCGGGTCTCTGTAAAGGGTTCACGCACCACACGAACGGTACTTGTGAGCTGTACAACACGGCAGGTGAGTGGAAAGATCCACTGTGAACTTCTGCACTTCTTTCGATGAGTTAGCCCCCCCCCCCCTCCTCTAACTCGGCTCTTGGGCCACGGCCCACGTATAGCGATACGGGAAAGACGGCGCTCGAAAAAGCGTCATAAATAAGGAAGAAATCACTTGGTCACTTTTTGGTCAGGTCAAAGGCCAGGTCACCAGAGGTTATTGAATGCCAAAATTCGCCGATTTGTAGGTCAGATTTCAATAATTTTCAACAAATCGACGCACAGCTCGGAAACTAATAAAGCTACAGCGCCACGAAAAAGCGCATTTGATAGCCCAGCTCTTATTAACGCTTTTTCTGAATTATTCTCTCAGATTTGACCTACCGTCGACGGTTTTGCCTGCAGGGGATAAAACTGTCAAAATAGCCGATTTTTCGGAGGCAGTTTTCCTGCAGTAACTTTTGACTCAAACCTTGCACGAGCTTTCTTTTACCAGCATCGTGTTCCTCTCGTGAAGATGCGTCGAATAAAGTATCATTTGACCGTGAAAAGTCAACTTAAAAATTTGACCTCAGGTCAAGGTCATGACCTGACCGGTAAGGGTCAAGTTGCATATCAGTCGATCCTTATCGTCGAGCCGAACACAACTAAGGTGTTTTCATCGCTCTAGCATGCCTCTATCAAAAGATATTCGCGAAAAAACTGTCAGATACCATTGGTGACCTGAGATGACCTCAGGGGCATAAAAAGCGGCCACGGGTGCAATTTTCATGTTCCGTTTGTCAAAGATATTGGTAATTCAGTGTTTTAGAGTGTTTATAATGACTTCCGTCGAAAAGAGGCGACTTTCAATTTTCTCCCCTTGACTTAGGTTTGAATGGGAGGTCGCAAAATTGACCTGACCTTAGGTCACCGCTATCAAAGTTCAAGATATACATTTTGTACATACTGTTGCTCTTGTCAATCGCTGAAAGTTTTAAAGCGATCGGTCACTCGGTGTAGCTTTACATTGAAACTTTGTATGTAGTGAGGTCAGTTGACCTGACCTGACCGTAAGTGACCTGGGTCTGAAATTTTCACAACATATGTAGAACAGTTGTATGATAAGGTGTATCAAAAACAGCAGCGCTTCGCGCCGCCGTTTTTGAGATATTCGTGAAAAACTTCAGGGGGTGTTCAAACACCCTCCCAGCAAGGCGCGAGCTAAATATCTAGCCAGTAACGAAACCAATTGTATGATTTCACTATGAGGAGGTGAGATTTTAGGCAATATTTTGTAGTGTTAAGTTGCAGTTATACCTATGCAGTTACTCCCGACCCCGATGCTATCAATCAACCTCTGCTTTTTACAGCGACACTGCTACCAGGAGGAGCTAACGCGGGAATACGAAGCTTCCGAAAAATACATCTGGCTGCAGGTATTGAATTGACTTGTGCTCAATGCTTATTCTGTAAAAGCTAAAAAATCGTGATTTTTTAGATTTCCCATTTCAAAAAATTGGGGTAACCCTTAATAATGTAGGTATTCGTAGTCTAAATTGCTTCTCAAGTTCTTACTTATTCGGCTATTCCTTGCAAATAATACAGATACTATCATCATATGACGGCATGGACTCGGATTTTCTCCGTTAATGAAATGGATTCCCATGCATGTCACTATGTGAGACTGTTGAATGTTGGACTGTTTGCAGATGGCTCTACTGTGTCTTGCGCCTGTCCGGGTGGCTTCAGCTGCTGTGCCGGCCGCTGTCTGATCCGACCCCCTCAGGAGCTCGGCTTCAGCGAAGCTAAAGCCGCCTGCGTCTCGCTGGGCGCCCACCTGGCCGTGCCCCGCTCTGCAGAGGAGAACCAGTGCGTTCTGACCATGGCGGCTGGAGTTGACGTCTGGATGGGACTGTCGGAGCATGGCGAGGACGGAGTGTTCGTGGCAGAGGATGGAGGAGAGCCCATGACGACCGTGGACATCCCTTTCTGGGGTGCCGGGGAGCCCAACAATCGTTCAACGGTTAACTGCATGCAGATATGGAAAAACGCCTGGGATGACACGGACTGCGATTGGCCTCAGAAATTCATGTGTCAACTGCGGCTGTGGAACCGACCGGATTGCGCGTAAAAAAAGGTTGATGTGACGTCACGGATTCTGGCAAGATAACGTCACAAGTACCTTGAAAGAATAGATCTTCGATCGAGAAGGATCGAGATCTAAAAAGATAACGGGGGAAAATAAGTTTTAGTACTGCACGAGTTGCACGAATTTCGTCATTAGGTGTAGTCATTCGGTGTGGTGTAGACCCCACTGCACTTGTTCTCCCCTGCAAAGACAGGTCTTGAATTACTCCTTTGTATATTTAATGAAGCTAGTTGACCCTCTCTCTGGTGCAGTATGCGGCGGAACACCTTCAATTAAGGGGGGGGGCACTGCCGACTTTTGGTCCCATTCTTTCCATGCAACGCCCATGGGGCTAATGTTAAATGCCAAAATCAAAGTGGGCACGGTGCCGCGATGCCCTCCCCGTTCCGCCGCCTATGCTCTGGTGTGGATCTCAGCCAGCTTCACCGTGGGGGGAGGGGCTTTCGGCTGCACCTGATTATCTCGAATAAAGATGCGGAAAAGTAATCGGTAGCTCCAACTCAGTTCTTTCTGAATTTCAAAGGTCATTTTTCAGTCAATTCAACGCTGATGTCACTGGAGGCTAGAATTTGCCTATAATTTTTCCCCGATTTTGATCAGTTTTCGAAAATCGGTGCTATAGCTCGTGAGCCAAAACAGCTGTAGTCGCGGAAAAGCGAAGCATTCGATAGTCCTTTAACCTTCGTCCCAGTGTAACCTTTAACCTTCGATCTGTATTGATGAGCCCAACACCTAACATGCTTTTCATTTTACGACCTGAAATTTGACCCTTCGAGTGACTGCTGGCCATTAGTTGCAACCTTCCATTGTGTATGGGCAAATATATGTTATGATCTGAAAGATTCTGTGGTTTTGACGCGTTCGTTTAACCCTATTAGTGGCAGGGGGGGGGTGTTTTTATCCACCCCTCAGGTTTTTCGGGAATATCTCCAAAACCGCTGAAGCTACGATGCTGAAATTTTCTGACTTTTCCTAAAACTAAATTGGGCACATTCCCTGAAAATTTCAAGTTCATAACTTTACCAGGGGCGGCTCCAGAGCACTGGGAATTGGGGGTTCCTATTCGTGAAGCGAGTCATTTGGGCGAAGATCACGATGCTGATGTATTATAACTGTATGCACCAGTTTTACGAACAGTGAATGAAAGGTATCATGTGATAACACATACAAAGTTATTGTGCATCCTCTTTTGACACGTTTTTGCTATAATAGGCGGATCCAGGCGTCCAAAAAGGGGGGTTATGTTTTACCTCCCAGCATAGGTGCCCTGACACCGCCTATGCATGACCAATACAATTGTAGTCGCTCTCTCATAAGAAAATTGTAACATAACAAGACCATTACCACCCTTTTTAGAAACAGTACCACCAAAAACCTTATTTACTATACTTTTTGTGTACCCCCAATCTCAATGATCTGTATCCGCCTATGATTTTTGAAAATGCATATTTTTAGAATCCATGTGCATTCCTGGTTCATTCTCTATCGATCGGCAAAAGTTGCGTTAAGATTGGTTTAGAAACCTGGCCGTTATAAACAGTCTAAAATGTATCTGCAATTTGCCCGTTTTTACCCCCCTCTACCCCCCTATTGACATTTTTTAATTTTTATTTTTCAGAAATGTAGATCACGTTGAGCGAAATCGAATGCAGTTTGAATTTTGAAAATCGGCCCGTTAGATCTCGAGATATCAAGGGGGGGTCGTAAACAGCCCCCCCCTGCCACTAATAGGGGTAGCCAGGAGCCTGCCACTAATAGGGTTAAGGGGGAGACAGTTCTTATCCCTATTGGTTTATTATTGTGGGGTCACAAAGATGGTCCGCGAGGACGCATGACACCTTTAACATTAGCCCTATGGGCGTTGCATGGAAAGAATGGGACCAAAAGTCGGCAGTGTCCCCCCTTAATTGAAGGTGTTCCGCCGCTACTGGCCATTGCACCAACCAAAGAACAGATATATGGATTTATCCTTTTTTTGCACGAATGTGCCCCACTCTCCCCTACTTCTAATCCTCCCAAAAGCGTGACCACGCATTCAACACTCAGATTTTCCTTTTACTAAAGACTTAACTTCGCGCCCGTTCGTCAGGCTACGCTGCAACTGTCATGCCTACCTACATGTGTGCCGTCACACCAACGTCTTTTCTATTCGTGTAGAGCGCTATGCAATGGTCATATCACTGAAGCTTAACGCTAGACCGTGAATAGTCGTGCTGTGCGAACGATGCATGAATAACAGCTTCGATCACAGATAACAGTAGTACTGGATTGGAAACAGGATTCCGGTGGCTGCAGTAAGAGGCCGAAAACAGAACCGAATATTTCGTGCCTATATTTCGATATCTCCTCTCACAGGCAACAAAAAATATTGGTTTATGTGAATGAAACTTATAAAGAAGCAATCGACTAGCCGTGCTCGTGTTTATTGCTGCATTTTTGCATAATGGCAACTTATTTTACTAAACGTTGCTGGTTACACTTTCCTCACCATGGTGAGGGAACGTATGCCACTGATTTGATTATAATGATTTCTCACTCTCATCCACAAAAAGTACTTGTACATACATGGGAGTTTGATCTCTTTATTCACATGCTAGCTAATCGATACCAGTCCTGTCACAACGAACCATCCAAACGTCACGATTCAAACCAACGTCACAAAACATCCCTTCAAGTGTTACTTCGCTTCCCCTGCCCTCCCAATTTCATCAGCGACCTTACTTCCCCGCCTTACATCTTCTTGACCCTGCTGAGCTTTGGCCTCTTGTCGCTCCTCGATCGGGTTGCACCAGTGCAGTGGCTGGGGTGCCTGCTTCCTGACTTTCGATGGACAGCACTGTCTTGAGTGTCTGTCTCACTTATCAGTTACCATGTTTCCACACTTCCCAGCAAATAGATTGAAAACCGTCGCATACATCTCTGGAAGGAGGCTCCTAAGGACGTCGTGGCTATAATTGCAAACGACTTCCGGTCAGTTCGACATCTCGGTTTACGACTATCTTCGTCACTTCTGCGTCACTTCTTGGTTGATCGCAGACCAGCAGCTGGTTCCTGTTAGCTTTCGTCTTCGGCAGTTGCCTCCAAACCTGGCAGATCCTCACGGTGAGGTCGATGTCTTCCTCGTCTTTCTCCAGTCGTACCTCCAGCGGCGTAGCCCCATGATAGATCAGCACGCTGGCGGAGGCACCGTACTTGTTACGCCTGGTGGCCGAGCGCAGAGCCGAGCGTGCCAAGGCGCCGGAGCTGTGTCCCAGGGAGGCCTTGGCGCTGTCATCCAGGTCCTCCATCTCAGTGGATTTCGCCACCGCGGCCACTAGCTCCTGGATGACAAGAGCACCATCCTGCTGTCATTCCTGCTGTGATGGTGCCATTCGGGCGGAGGCATCGGCGGGGCTGAAACGTGACCAGTGACCCGGAGTACCGCCTCATTCTCCAGGAACTGTCGGACACTCGACCAGTTGTAGTTGCCACCTGATAGCTGATATTGTCATTCGTGAAGAACGCATCGGTCTGGCCCTTCATAACCTGCTTCTGGTGTGAGTGGCGTGCAAATGCCATGGCGTTTCGCTGGCCGCTCGTGCACAGGGGGCATCGCGTAATCCACGCTGGTCAATACTGACAGGGCTGCGCCGCTCTTGAGCCGACGGCGCTGTCTCTGCATGCCGGTGCGAAATGACCGATCTTCTTCGAAATCTTCCTTTCTGAAATGCAGCTCACACACAGCGGAATAGTCCTGATCCCACTCAGCCCGGTCACGGTGACCCATGGCGCCAACCCACTGAGCCCGTAGAGATGTTTCGGTGAGAAAAGCGAATAGGTGGCATGTGAGACATCTCCTGTTCTAATCTTTTGTTCCTCTTGGTTCGTTGGGTTGTAGCCAGAACGGCAGGTTTTTACCGCTCATTCCCCTCCTCCATTGTTGATGTACCTATACGTATGTAAGGCTTTGCACCACATTTTTTTTTTCAAAAGAAAACACCACGCATTGTGCCCTCTAAATGATCAAATTAAAAGTGAAATACTTTAATTTTTAAGCAAATGAAAGTAACTTTGGTAGCTTCGATTTTGAACTTAAACGACAAAACGCAGAAAAGACGATTTCTTGCAATACACAACACACAAATTATCCACCCAGCAGCACGCGAGAATCTCATTTTGGCGCCGTCGCATAAAAACATTCGGCCTCTTACTGCAACTGCCAATATTCTGTTTCCAATCCAGTACTACTGTTATCTGTGCTTCGATATATAATGCATTGAACTCGCAAATCACATTACTATCAGCCCGTGTATCAGTAAACCTTAGCCACCATACAAGTATAGCGCACATTTGCAGTTGGTTAGCTGGTCGGCGCGGTACGGAACTTTGCGCTCGTATTGTGACAGACATGCTCTGCATTAATCATGTTGAATCGAGGAATCCTAGGATCATTACGACAAACATTGCGTCCATCAAGTGTGCTACAAACGTTGAAACAGGACGTGAACACCGTCAAGCATGGAGCATCAATGGTACGGCGGAGGTGCTTACAACCGATGCAAGCGAGTGATTTATTTAAATGGGCTCTCGTATGCGATGTTCTGGCAGCCGAAAGAATCTGTATATAAGCTGCACGGCTACCGGCTAGCTTGGAAAATAGCCGTCGGGCACCGTTCCCCTCTAACTATACGTAGAAGCAGCGCGTCATTTTTCACTCTAAGTTCTTGATTGCGAGAGCGGCGAATAGCCTTTTGGCATCGTGGATGAAAAAGGCCGTAGCCAGTGGCGGATCCAGGGGGGGGGGGGCAAAATGGGCATTTGCCCCCCCCAAACGGCATGATTTTAACATTACGCCTATGGACGATGCATGGAAAGAATCGATAAATTTTTATGGTTTGCCCCCCCCCCCCAAACCTCTGAGCTGGATCCGCCTCTGGCCGTAGCTGGTGAGGGTAGCTTGTACATAGTACCTACTTATGCCACATATACATAGATAGGTAGGTATGTACAGTCCACAGCAGAAGTAATGTGGGGTTTCAGTCATGGGTATGTTCCGCTTCTGAAGCTTAGGAACGATTAGCCAGACTACAATGAAACTTCGAATGTAGCTTATATGTATCGTCCCCTTGCAGCTGCAACTTTAGCTATTGACATCTTCTTTTCGATCACTCCGCATTAAACAATCGCCAGTCAAAGCCAACCGTTGAGATTGGTAAAACCCTACATTACTTTAGCGGTGGGCTGTACGTTAGGGTTGTTCAAAAAACCGAATTTTGGAAAAGTATATGGGCTCATGGCTCATGTGGTGCGGTATTCTTTTCTGAGACCAACGATGCCCTTTTTACTGAAAAGTATTAACTGTTAGGGGCTCCTCAAACGGCTTAAAGAGGACCATGTTACGCCCGCCGACCGACCGGTGTCAATAAGGGCGAGAGTTCGACGCCGCACGGCGGCGGCAGCGCCTTATCGGCACCGCGCGCCACGACATCTGCCGGGCGGCCGGCTGGGCGGTGGGAAGTTATAAGTGCGTGGTCTTATTGCACACGATCGGGGTGAGCTATCCCATGTTTTCGGGGGGGAAAGTTTCAGTGCAGCATCGGTGCGTCTGCCACGGTGGTCTGTATCGATGGTATAGAAAATAACTCAAGCAGAGCTCAGAAAAGAATGAATGATTCCGGGTAGTTGCCTCGAAACAATCCGTTTCAAGAATACAGCTGCCTTCTTTACGTACCGTATCACTTGTTAATTCTTCAAAAAGCAAACTCTGAGCAATAACACACCTCTTTGCGTTGCTGTTGACAATTTACGTTAGTTTTTGACGGTGGCTCGCACCCCCAATATGCTGCCGCGCAACTTTATTCCA